AGAAATACTGTCCTGTAAAAAAATATGGGTTCTGCAAAGAAATATTACAGAGTTAAACAACCTTATTGGAATAATGAATTAAATGAATTATGGTTGAAGTTGCGATCTTCAGAAAGAATATTTCTTAAGGGTAATCCTGGGAAATTTGGGGAGAGGAGGGCTTTGCATAATGAATTTGTGCGGTGTCAGACTAACTTTGATAGAAAGCTTAGGTTTTACAGCAAGAAAATGAATGTAGTCTAAGTACAAAAAAGAGGATATTTGTAAGGATAAAAAAGGAAAACATTAAAAATAAACAAATGGTAGGAATTATAATACACACATGACAAATAAGGGGTGAATGCAGACTTTGTTCAAACATTTATCTCAGTTGGGAAGAGTTTTAGCGTATCATATATTTTTTTGTGCCTTAGGACCTTTCATAGTTTTTAAGGATTTTATATACAGTTTTAATTCATTAAAAAAAAAACTACAAATTTGGGAGATGATTTCACAATTCTACACTTATGAATGAAGAATTTGGCTAGACATACAATTGTATTAACACACAGCTCATCACCCTTGCTTTGCAATATCAGACCAAATGTAACATCGTCTCTGGATATAGAGGTTGGGAATGAAGATATCTGCTGCTTAACTCATTTATGTACATCACACCAAAATATCTGAATCACATTACATGAGAAAAACACATGGCCCGTAGTTTCAACATCATTTTCACAGAATGTACATGTGTTATCATCTATACCAAAGCGAAAGTCTCAGTAATTCTTTAGAGGGATAAATGTTGTTCATTACTTTAAAGTTAGTTTCTTTCACTTTTGGAGGTATAGGGAGTGTTAGATACATTGTTCTTAGTTTAGTAATTGTCGCTTTATCACATTTTTGCATAATATTATTTTTATTTTGCCTTTCAGGGTAAAGGTTCACATCTAGCCAAGCAGGTGCATCACTAGGCCCTTTTTAGGGGGGCTTCAATCTTTTCTCCAAAGAGCTGCATTCTATCTTTCAGCTCCCAGAGGCGGATGACAGTGCTCGACACCCCCGGGCCTTGCCACTCTCGTCCCCCTCTGTCTCTGAGGGCGCAGATGACAGTGTGTGCCGTCTCCGGACAACACCACTCTCGCCCCCCTCTATCGGCAGACCCCTGGCAGAGCAGACCCCCGTGGAACGCTGGTCCTTTCCCTGGTCTCCTCTGTCAGGACATGGAGCATGACCGTGCACACGCTTAGGGCCGCTATGCCACCCTTGCCTGGGCCGGTCAGATTCAGATGATTCCGCTGGATCAGTTTTTGGGGGCTTGGTTATAGCTCCCCAATCTGTCCCGCTGGGTCGCCCGAAATATCAGACTCGGCTATGGGATTCAGTTTGCACGGTCTACTCCCCGCTTCTGGGGAGTCCGCTTTACGATGGTCGGTGGCAATGCCCAGATCATGAGAGCGGAGGTTGCCACCCTGTGGGCGAAGGGTGCAATCGAGACTGTCCCTCCAGCCGAGGTGAGGTCAGGGTTGTACAGCCCCTACTTCATTGTCTCCAAGAAAACCGCTGGGTTACGGCCAATCCTGGACCTGCACGTCGTGAACCGCACCCTTCACAGGCTGCCGTTCAAGATGCTCACGGCCAAACACATTTTCGAATGTGTTCGGCCCCGGGATTGTTTTGCAGCGATAGACCTGAAGGACAGAGACCATTTCTTCGGTTTGCTTTCGAGGGTCAGGCATATCAGTACGCGGTTCTCCCATTCGGGCTGGCTCTGTCTCCTCGCATCTTTACGAAGATTGACGAGGCAGCCCTTGTTCCCCTATGCGAACAAGGGGTTCGCATCCTGAACTATCTCGATGACTGGCTAATCTTAGCTCACTCTTGGGATCAGGTGTGCGAACACAGAGACCTTGTGCTCCGGCACCTAGCCCGTCTGGGCCTTCGGGTGAGAGAAGAGCAAACTTTGCCCCGTGCAGAGGATCTCTTTTCTCGGTATGGAGATAGACTCAGTCGCCATGTCCGCGCAGCTTAAGAGTGAGCACACACACTCACTGCTGACTTGTCTTCGACAGCAAGAGTGCGGTTCCGCTGAAACTTTTTCAGAGGCTCCTGGGGCATATGGTATCCGCAGCCACGGCAACGCCACTCGGATTGCTTCATATGAGACCGCTTCAGCTGTGGCTTCGTGATTGAGTCCCGAGGTGGGCATGGCATGACACGGTACACGAGTTCCAGTTACTCCGACCTGCTGTCAGACCTTCACCCCGTGGCGGAACCTCAGTTTTCTACGGGCCGGAGTTCCCCTAGAATGAGTTTTCAGGCATGTTGTTGTCTCCACAGATGTGTCTGCCACGGGCTGGGGAGATGTGCAATGGACATGCAGCCGCGGGCTCCTAAACAGGACCCCAGTGCCTTATGCATGTCAATTGCCTCGAGTTGCAGGCAGTATGCACCGCTTCCATGCATTGCTCAACTGAAAACTAAGGGTCAACACACACTAGTCCGTTCAGACAATACTGTGTCGACAGTAGCGTACATCAACCATCAAGGTGGTCTACGCTCTCGACGTATGTCGCAAGTTGCACGCCACCTCCTCTTCTGGAGTCAGAAGCACCTGAGGTCCCTTCATCCTATTTAAAGAAAAATAAAAAAATAGGCAAAATTCTAACCTTTCAGTGAAGCAAAAGAATTGAAAGTGGGGGTAAATCACATTATGAAATAAATGTTTTTGCAGAAACTGAATCAATATCACCCATCTGGTTTGGAAGCTAAGCTAACAAGCGCTGTGGAGATAGGAAGTATAATAATGACGCAAGAAACTAAACATGATATGGAAGAAGAGGATTTTGAAATTCTGCTGCTTGAATCTGATGTTCGTGGCTATCTTTACGAGCTGCAGTATAGTGAAGATCCACTGCTGCGGACGAGGAGCCCGGACTGGCTCGAGCTGAGGCGGACTGCTGTGCATGCGTTCTCGCTGCGTGCTACGGCCTACGGACACAGCAAGAGTCCATCGGCTGCAGAGAATTTCAACAATGGCAATTTCTCCTGGACGAAATATCTCAATCAGACGAGAACACGGATGTTTGTGTTGTGATGTGAACCATCATAGTTTCGCCTGACTGAACAGGTATCATGCAGTAATACACCATATGGAAATAAAATACAAACGAGGAGTAATTCACTAATGAGTTTGCCAATGTAACGTTAACAGGGTTTGTTGTTGTGGGAAGAAGGAGGCGGGAACCAGCTTTGATTTCATATCAAAATAGGGTGCCAGCTTAATTTAAAAAATGTTCAAGTAGAAGAGCGCCATCTTGTGGCTTTAAAAATAGTTACATGTGTGCAATGTCTTGTACAGCCTGTAGGCTATGAAGGTAAAATAGTAGCAATACTCGTAACTTGTACACTGAAGTTGAACGCTGAGATTTGCACTCACAGACAACAGTCACAAACCTGTATTCTGAATCGGAAGCTGCAGACAATGACAGATTTGAGAAGTTGCAAGTGCCAATTTGAGGTTGTACTGCGAATTTGAATGTTAGAAGAAGTGCAAATATATTTTACACATTTGTGACTGCTTGTCTGCAACTTGAGATTTTTATTTTACAGGTTTTCACATCGGAGCTGTTCACATACAAGTACGAATATTTATTGTACAAGTTCTCAAATTCACATCTACGTGCTCTCGAGTATTGCTACTCTTTTACCTTCATATAGATCCTCGCCTTCGCCTGCTTTCTCCAGCAACACTACAGTTACAGAATTAAAGATTATTTTACTATACCTTTGCTTTATCTGAATCTCACAGTTTGCAATATCACTTGGATATGTAGAAACATTTTACTCACAAAATTACACATTGTCAGTAAAATGGTCATTTTATTTGTGGTTATTGTACAGAGTTATTGTGCATAAATCTGCATGTAATAACAGGCTTTATAATTTAATATTTATTATTAAAAGAACAAATGATTAAACCGCAAGCATTGAGATGTTGTGATCAGGACATCTATATTAATACCCAGCCCAAGGGTGAACTAAATTAAGCCAAAGTGGAGAAAAACAACAATCTTACATCGATAATAACAATTCCAAATCTTCTGCTCTGTATCCTGCAGTAAAAAGCAGCATAAATGTCAGATTTCTTCTAAGTATGTACAATAATTGTTTAAGAAGAAAAAAAAAGAAGAATCTGAATCGGTTATCCTTTTGATCTTTCATTCAAAAAATTGCCAAAAATCGAACCTTTCTTTGAAATAAAATAATTGACAGTGTGGGGGGTGAGTGGGGTTTAAATCACATTATGAAATAAATGTTTTTCTCCAAAACATGTTGCATACATTTTGGCAAAGGGAACAGAGTGTAAACAAAAGTTAATCACTTTTAATAAGAGTCCAATTAACTGAAAACACTTTAAAGATTGTTTTTAATTACTCATAAAATAACTATAATTAATTGTAATTACATACAATACACATTGTGGGGCGTCATTTTTATGCCTGTTTTCTTTAGGCCAAAAAAAATTAAAAAATTCAGCCGATAATTTTCGAGTTTAATAATAAAAGTTAACAATTTTTTTTCAAATGTGACAATTAATAAAAAAATGAATCAAATTCAGTGAATTATTTTTGATTAATGAATATACCTGATTGTTGTTGTTTTTCTGTATTTCTTTCCAGTCTCTTTTCATTTTGGTATTTTTTATTTCGAGTAAGCGTTCAATTAAAATACCTTTCAATCATTTTCTTGTTCTCCAACATATAAAACACAAATTTTGTGGTATTTCACAGCAACACTAGTTTATTAGTTAACTAACTACATATTTACTTTATTATGAATCTAATAAAACATTTGCTCACTGTGACACAGAACAATGCTTTCTAATGAGTCACTAGATTACTTGATTGGGTGAAACTCTTTCCACACTGAGTACAGCTTCGTACGGCTTCTCTCCAGTATGAACTCGCTCGTGTGATTTCAGGTGTCCAGACCGAGTGAAACTCTTGTCACAATATGAGCACTTGTAAGGTTTTTCTCCAGTATGAATTCTTTGATGCAGTTTCAGATAATGAGATGTAGTAAAGCTCTTCCCACAGTTAAAGCACATATAATCTCTCACTTCATTGTGTGTTTTCTGGTGCCGTTTAAAACAGTTCATACGTGAAAAACTCTTTCCACAGAGAGAACACACATAAGGCTTCTCATCTGAATGAACTTTTAGGTGTGATTTTAGATTTGCTGATGAAATAAAATCTTTACCACACTGATCACAGTTAAATGTTTTTTCTCCAGAGTGAATGAGCAGATGATAACTGAGAGTTGTTGAATGAGTAAAACTTTTTCCACACTGAGTGCATGTATACGGTTTCTCTCCAGTGTGAATTCTCATGTGTGCGTTAAGGTGTCCTTTCCATGAGAAACTCTTCCCACACTGAGTACAGTCGTACGGCTTCTCTCCAGTATGAACTCGCTCGTGTGATTTCAGGTGTCCAGACCGAATGAAACTCTTGTCACAATATGAGCACTTGTAAGGTTTTTCTCCAGTATGAATTCTTTGGTGCAGTTTCAGATCACGAGATGTAGTAAAGCTCTTCCCACAGTCACAGCACATATAATCTCTCACTTCATTGTGTGTTTTCTGGTGATGTTTAAAACTGTTCAGCCTTGAAAAACTCTTTCCACAGAGAGAACACACATAAGGCTTCTCATCTGAATGAACTTTTAGGTGTGATTTTAGTTGTGATGATAAAATAAAATCTTTACCACACTGATCACAGTTAAATGGCTTTTCTCCAGAGTGAATGAGCAGATGACCACTGAGAGTTGATGAATAAGAAAAACTCTTTCCACACTGAGTGCATGTATACGGTTTCTCTCCAGTGTGAATTCTCATGTGTGTGTCAAGGGTTCCTTTCTGTGTGAAACTCTTTCCACACTGAGTGCAGGTGTGCGTCTTTTTGGCTTTTGTTCTTTGAGTTGTAAAGTTACGATGTTTCTTCTCCACTTCATTCAGTTCTTGTCTTTGCTCTTTCACTCTCACCTGGTCTAAAATACACAGAAATACAGTTCGAATCAGTTCAAGTGAACCCTTATTTAATAGCAGAAAACAACAGATCCTTCCTTTGTTATTCTGTCATTCACTTGTTAACATAGTTAAAATTAGTTTGACAACTGCTATACAAGGTTATGATCATTTAGATGCATTTCTCTAACATCCATTTACTGCTTATTAATTCACATCTACCAGAGCATCAACAATGAAGAATCAAGAATGGACACCAACCTATTTGTTCCTCAGTATCTTCATGTTTTATCCTGGATGGTTCTGGATCGCTCATGTCTTCAATCTCCACTTTAATAAACTCCATCTTTAACAGTCACACAGATTTCAGCTGCTACTCCTGGAGTTTGTCCTTCTCTTGTAGTATGATGGGAATAATCCCAGTATTTATTGGTGAATTGTTGTGGGAGGGGCTTCACTGCAGGTGTGAACTGTGATCACTGTGTTTTTATCCAATCTGCATTTAAAAAGTACAGGATCATCATGTTAAACTGAGCAGCTGAAAAACCTCTTTGTCTCCAAAAGTTCCCTGTTTTCAGCTCATTCATTATGGTGATGTCTGAGATCATCTGTAAATTGGCACATTCAGTAGTTTTATTGGTGTCAACAGGCTGAAATAAACTACAGCATCATCACCTTTCACTTCAGTTCTTGTCTTTGCTCTGTAAGTTGTCAACATTAAGTTTTTAGAATGAGTTGAATTTTGAGAATTAATTTTCAAGTGAACACTGATTTAATAACAGACAATTAGTGAGATCTGCTTATAAAATAATATATTTTTGATGTACCAAAGGTTAGTTTTGAGATCCTCTAGTTAAAGGTGCAATATGTAGGATTTTTCACCACCAGGGGTCGCCAACCTTATACAGTAATGGTCAAAATTGATGGCACCCCTGGCGAATGTGATCAAAACTGGCAGTAAAAAATAAATCTGAATTGTTTATCCTTTTGATCTTCCATTAAAAACTTGGCAAAATTCTACCCTTTTATTGAAGCAAAAAAGGGGGGGGGGGGGGGACAAATTGCCAGGGTCGATTTTGTCTTTCTGAAGTACATTCCCATTAATATTTACATTTTTAAGCACACCAGGGTGACTGGGAACATTACATTTTCCAGCTATGACTTCTCGTTTCACAGGAGTTTAAATATGTGGAAAAACAAATGCCAAATCCCCTTAATCATCCATCACAATGAGTAAAACCAGAGAATATAGTTCTGATGTACATCAAAAGATTGTTGAGCTTCACAAAATACAAAGTGGCTGTAAGAAAATATCTAAAGAATTGAAAATTCCCATTTTGACCATCAGGGCAATAATCAAGAAGTTATAATTAGGGATGTCCCGATCCGATACTCAGGATCGGTATCGGCTCCGATCCAGCCATTTTTGCGGGATCGGGTATCGATCAGACGAGGCAGATCCAAATCCGATATTGTGCGTATACTATTATGTTATTGTTAAGCCCCACAGAAGGCACAAAAACATTCTAAAGTACCATGACGTTTTCGTGCACTCTATTATAAGTGTTCTGAAGCCATTATGTCAGAGAGAAATTAATATATAAGTCATTAAATTCAGGATCACGTAAACGTTTTCCTCTCACGGCTGTCAGTCATTCTCCATTCAGCACTCAAACAGCGCGTCGCGTTCGGTTACAGTAAATGATGAAACTATCTTCAAGATGATTCAGTGTTTATACTATTATACTTTATCTGTAGATTAGGGTCTATATTTTCGCATAAAACAACATTATCTTGCTGGACTTTATTGCTGTAACTTAATCGTGTTACTTTCTACCAGGTGTCGGACGCTGTCGGTTAGATCACAACACTAGAGTCACTCAGCACTATTGTTCTTCACGCGCACAGTAACTGAAATTTAAAATTGTATAAAGAAAAGGCTCAATAAACTATTGCATAGATAGATACTGTTTAATACACTGTCCATCAATATGTATTTCCTTTATGCTTTGAACTTTTCAAAGCGGACTCGACGCGCAGCGTGCATACCATAGGGTGCATACTCGGCTGCGTGCTGTAACTCCACGTGGTTTCAAGCTCATCATTCTGCGCTCGGAATGCGCATAAGCGCTTTGTGCCGCATTGTGTTGGAGTCATTCATATCATAATGCAGTGACGCAATTAAAGCTTATTAACATTAATAATTATTAATGTTGCTACCTCTTTAAATAGCTGTGCTATACACTTAAAACATGTCTCAATTTTTTAGTAGTCTTTGGCTATATCTAAAATAATTATCTTTTTAATTTTTGTTATATTGTTTTTCATGAATGTATTTTACAACAATACAAAGAGCAATATTTATTATTCACTAATCTAGTTTATAATAGCATTTTTTGTCATTGATTATGATCATATATTTTGGGGATTTGTTGTTTATCTTTATTATGAAGCTGTCTGTAGATTGTGTAACACACACCAGAGTGATAATGAGTTTAACACACAATTATAGAAATTCTACTTGCTTTAAAAAAAACTGTACTGGTATTTACAATGTAGAATGCTGCTGTTTAAATTGTTTTAACTTTAAACCTGTTGGTAGCTATAGCTAGCTTTAAGTACTGAAGTACCTGCATTTTCATTTATATATATATATATATATATATATATATATACACTGGAGGTATATTTTAAGGGGCTAATTGAGAAAATTGCTATATTTTTTATTAGTTTAAAAATAAAATAAAAATATCGGATTAATATCGGTATCGGCAAAAGCCAAAGCTGCGGCATCGGTATCGGAAGTGAAAAAGTGGTATCGGGACATCCCTAATGTTTATGAATGGGTCATTGAATCTTTGACTCAATCGATTCTTTCAAAATGCTAAATAATTCAGTAATGAAAACAGGTTGAGTGTTCCTGTGACATCCGCCGTGGTTCTGCTGTGATTTTTGTTTGGAACTATTTTAACTGCTGAAACAGAACAAAAACAGCCAATATTGCATCTAAAATGTAAGTGATTCAATTTTAACTGTTGTAGGAAATCAATGTCACATTTTCAATCGTGATGGTGTTCAGGAAAAATAAATGAGGTTGCTTAACATATGTTAAAAATATAAAAACTCCACATTTAGATTTTTATAGGCAGTATGTTGTTAACTGAGTGTGTGTGTGCTGGGCTCATTTGTGTAGATTTCTGCTCGAGAGGCTGCGCGAGCGTCAACAGTGCAACCTTTCCGTCAGTAATAGTCGACAACTTTGACAGTAATGCAACGCAATATGAAAGAGTTCGTCTTAGGTTTAACAACCTATGAAACTAATAATGAACAATATGAAACTAAAATGACATAAGCTTAGGAACTACAGGATATTTAGAGGTGGATAAATGCACTTTGAAGGTGGGTAAACGCTATTTCTGAATATTGGGAGGTGCGTAATCGGCGTTTACGTGCGTTTAGCCTCCACTACATCCCTGCCAGGGGTGCCATCAATTTTGACCACAACTGTATAATAACAAACAAAGGTCTGCAAGCTGATGGATCTTGTATAGAGCTGGTAAGTCTCGCCCATCCATAAAACTCCAAGTGGACCTCTAGTATTTAAAAAGCGTCAATGCAAGTGAATGAGAGAAAATAATTATTTTCTGGTCCCGTTTGAATTGTGCCACGATTGTGAACATATGTTGTCAGTGAATTTTTTATATAATTTCTCATGAAACGAGTTTGACAGTTTATTGGATGATTCGTTGGCTAGCAGTTGTGGAATATACATAACGAGAAAGACTACACGTCGCATTTGTGACGTCGCCTCATAACACATTTTCCCTCCACAAATCACGGTGCGATAATCTAAGGAATTAGATCGAGATGCCTGTGTGTTTTGTACCCAAATGTCACCATTCAAACAATGGTTTGTTTAGCGGGATCCGTGTGCTAGTGGTGGTGACGTATCAAACGCGTCGAAAGCAGGAAGAGCTGTAGTCCACAAAGTGCTCTCACACAAAGTCTAACCGTATGAAAATTCTACCTGCTAAATTGTAGCATTCTTTACACGAAAAATCATATAAAAAAATCACAGACAACATATGTTCACATTCATTGCAAAACTCAAACGGGATTAGAAAATAATTATTTTCTCTCATTCACTTGCATTGATGATTTTTCAACCAAGAGGTCCAGCGGGGTTAGCGGAAGGGGCGGGACTTACCAGCTCTGTGGATGAGTGAATACACTGATGTTTTTACAAGGGGGTAATCCATCGACCGGAAGTTGAAGCCTCGGTGGAGCTGCCATCTTGTAGCAGAACTTCACTTGGGTTAGCATTCCCATTGACTCCGTACTCCGACTACGTAGTCAAGCTCTGTTTGAGTCTGTGCGTCAGGGACGGAAGTGCTAAAAAATCGCCTAAAACGGGCTTCAATCGTCTCAATGGAGTTCCAATGAGATCGCTCTGTCCATTTCTTTTACTGTCTATGTGTTTTTAACTTGACTGTAGTGTGAAGCAGGGCGCGATTGCTAATGAGAGACAGATATCAGCGACAAGTGCTGAATTACTCACAGAGGTCAGTTCATTAGACGAATGAAACTTGAGGTAATGCAGCGCTGATCACTTGCTCTAACAGTTACACTATCACACTAAACAGCTTTTGAGTGTGTTGAAAGTTATAATGTTATTCTGTGATGGTATTGGATTTTTTCTTGGTATGGTATGAGATTTGCAACAACAATTCTCACGTGGGAATTCAGGGACGTGCACAGGGGGGTTGCTCAGGTTGCCCGGGCAACTGCCCATATGCCCTTCTACTCAGGTTGCCCTTCCGAGGAAAAAAAAAAACGTACAATGGATGTAAAATTTCACGTAGGCCTAGACAAAAAAAATAATATAAAAATCGCAAAGCCTCATTTACTTCCATTCGGGCACTGAAAGGGAAAGTCAAACTGTTTACGTGGCTGCAGTGCCTCACGCGACCATAGACTGCACGCGACCGGTGCGGTAAGGCACCGCAAGTTAATCAGGCCGCGCCTCCATCTCGTGTCGCGCGCTAATTAATGTGTACGAAGTCCATGACAAAATGAAGCAAAACTATCCTTCTCGTCACGAAAAGAGGAAGAAGAAAAACATGAGAGTGAATTGCGGGAACAGCAGTCAGGTAAACTTGTGTTCTCTCCTCTCTAGTTTGATGTCAGCAAAGTTTGATGGTTTTTGGTCTTGCTAACCTATCTGGGCAGGCAGTGCATCTCTTGCATCACTTTTTGCCTGACAAAAGTGAGAGTAAAATACCATTTTTTTTTTTACCGTTTTGTTTTTTATAAACGACAAAGTGCAACAACAGTGTTTGTTTACTACAGCTCGGAAAACATAACCGCGTCGCGTGTGTTGCGTTCATATGCGCGTGCACGAAATGAAACTCGCATTTTTCAAGCAGAAATGTGGAGACCAGAAATACTGTACAATACGTGAATGATGGCACTTCAAAGTACACATTATAAAGACACTGATTATCTAGTCTCAGTGTAGTTAAAAACTCTAAACAACTGCACTAATTATGCAAGAAACCAATGTATTGGCAATTTGACATTGATTGACTATTGATTTATAGGCTATATTGAATTTAAAATGATGATTAGCTGGACATTCTGGTCAATATGAATGCAAATCCCTCAGTATATAACAATAAATCAAGATTTGCTTCAACATGCATAAATAAATAAAAATCATAGGCTACTGATTCTGAAAATACCCTGGCTGTAGAGAGAACCAAAGTTAATCCCAAAAGCCAAAGTTCAAGTTTGTACTTTATTATTTTCTTCTTATTTATGTTTACGTTAATATTCACTTGTTATCTTAACATTCTATAAAAACGCTTTATTCAGTAAATATTGTTTGTTTGAACCTCATTCTGTTCTGTATTGTTGTACTTGTTCTTTGACTGTTTTGTTTAAAGGAGGGAGGATTGTATTGGGCGGTATTGAGTGGCAATGGCAAATGGTTTACATGGCTCACGGCATCACAGATCAGGTAGAGGGCCCCATAGCAGAATTTTGCTTAGGGCCCCAGGGGGAGGTCAGGATTGGCAAAAAAAGATTGTATTTTTTCCCGAAATCTAAGCGTTTTTTCTTTTTTTGAGTTTTTCCATTCAATCCAGATTATTTCTTTTCAAATAAATAAATAAATAATAATAATTTAAAAAAACAATAAACAACAATATGAGGAACTCTTTTGCTCATTTGTCTCATCTCTGACATTTTGCAATCTTTATAAATAATAATAAGACCATAAGATGAGGCATTGCGTTTGGACATAAACACGGCCAGATAAGGCAATTTGGAAGGTGACAAATTCAACTGAATATATTCCTTCATATAGCCCGTGAGGGGGGGGGGGGGGGTGCCCTTTTTTCAGGTCAGAGCAACTGCCCCTCAAAATTCCTGTGCACGTCCCTGTTAACCAAATAAATAAATAAATAAATCAACCACAGACGCGTCACACACTGGTATTTTTTTATTTTCATTGAGTAAGCGTTCAATTAAAATACTTTTCAATCATTTTCTTGTTCTCCAACATATAAAACACATATCTTGTGGCATTTCACAGCAACACTAGTTCATTAGTTAACTAACTACACTTTTGCTTTATGTGAATCTTTTAATTGTTTGTTAATTGTCCATTAATTGTTTTATTGTTTTATTATGTGAACATTACTTGATTGGGTGAAACTCTTCTCACACTAAGTACAGTCGTACGGCTTCTCTCCAGTATGAACTCGCTCGTGTGATTTCAGAGATCCAGGCCGAGTGAAACTCTTGTCACAATATGAGCACTTGTAAGGTTTTTCTCCAGTATGAATTCTTTGATGCAGTTTCAGATCACGAGATGTGGTAAAGCTCTTCCCACAGTCACAGCACATATAATCTCTCACTTCATTGTGTGTTTTCTGGTGCCGTTTAAAACAGTCCAGCCATGAAAAACTCTTTCCACAGAGAGAACACGCATAAGGCTTCTCATCTGAATGAACTTTTAGGTGTGATTTTAGATTTGCTGATGAAATAAAATCTTTACCACACTGATCACAGTTAAACGTTTTTTCTCCTGAGTGAATGAGCAGATGATAACTGAGAGTTGTTGAATGAGTAAAACTTTTTCCACACTGAGTGCATGTATACGGTTTCTCTCCAGTGTGAATTCTCATGTGTGCGTTAAGGTGTCCTTTCCACGAGAAACTCTTCCCACACTGAGTGCAGTCGTACGGCTTCTCTCCAGTGTGAACTCGCTCGTGTGATTTCAGGTGTCCAGACCGAATGAAACTCTTGTCACAATATGAGCACTTGTAAGGTTTTTCTCCAGTATGAATTCTTTGGTGCAGTTTCAGATCACGAGATGTAGTAAAGCTCTTCCCACAGTTAAAGCACATATAATCTCTCACTTCATTGTGTGTTTTCTGGTGCCGTTTAAAACTGTTCAGCCTTGAAAAACTCTTTTCACAGAGAGAACACACATAAGGCTTCTCATCTGAATGAACTTTTAGGTGTGATTTTAGATGTGCTGATGAAATAAAATCTTTACCACACTGATCACAGTTAAATGTTTTTTCTCCAGAGTGAATGAGCAGATGAACACTGAGAGTTGATGAATAAGAAAAACTCTTTCCACACTGAGTGCATGTATACGGTTTCTCTCCAGTGTGAATTCTCATGTGTGCGTCAAGGGTTCCTTTCTTTGTGAAACTCTTTCCACACTGAGTGCGGAGTCACACAGATTTCAGCTGCTACTCCGGAAGTTTGTCCTTCTCTTGTAGGATGATGGGAATAATCCCAGTATTTATTGGTGAATTGTTGTGGGAGGGGCTTCACTGCAGGTGTGAACTGTGATCACTGTGTTTTATCCAATTTGCATTTAAAAAGTACAGGATCATCATGTTAAACTGAGCATCTGAAAAACCTCTTTGTCTCCAAAAGTTCCCTGTTTTCAGCTCATTCATTATGGTGATGTCTGAGATCATCTGTAAATTGGCACATTCAATTGTTTTGTTGGTGTCAACAGGCTGAAACAAACTACAGCATCATCACCTTTCACTTGAGTTCTTCTCTTTGCTCTGCTGGGTACACACCAAAAGATAATCAGGCTGATTTTGGGCCGATTCTCCCCATTCCGGCAATCCTAGGTATGTCCCGATTATCTTGATGGTTGAACAGATTATCTTATCAGATTCCCCCTTCGTGTGAGGTGTGTTAAGAGTGCACGAACCTGCTCGGAAGAACATCGGAGCCGCTCCGATCGCGAATCGTAAATATTCAGAAATCCTGATGTGCGAGGGGAACCCCGAGGACAACCGCGCGCGCTCTGGAGATTATCACATGAAACGAAACAATATCCAATTGGAAAGCGAGATGTTGGAAGACGGAAGCATAACAAACGCAGTCATAGCGCGACACAACGTGAACTTGATGGACAGCAGAGATGGAGGATCAGCTTGTTGATTTGTTGCTCAGAAAATGTAATAAACTCAGTATAAAAAACATTCCATATAAGGATAGGAGTATGTGTGTGTGTGTATGTGTGAGAGAGAGAGAGAGAGAGAGAGAGAGAGAGAGAGAGAGAGAGAGAGAGAGAGAGAGAGGGGCAGAAAATGAACCATGGTTTTATTATAGGCATATTGACCATTTGTATAACCAAATAAATACTAGTTAGATTTTTTTTTAGCGAAACTGTGGTTAATTTGTGGTCATTCCAAACACTATTCTGAAGTCTCGTGAGATTTTGCGAGATTTCCTGTGTTCAGTCTAGACTCTGGTTGAAAAACTTTTTGTGTGTAGTGTAGGGGTGTCCATGGTTAACCGGTCAACCCAGGGGTAGGCAAGTTCGGTCCTAGAGAGCCGCTGTCCTGCAGAATTTAGTTCAACTTCCAACCCTAATCAAACACACCTGAACAAGCCAATCAATGTCTTCAGGATTACTAAAGCTATAGGCAGGAGAGCTTTTTTCAGTGTTGGAGCCAATCTCTGCAGGACAGCGGCTCTCTAGGACCGAACTTTCTTACCCCTGGGTTAACCAATTAACCGTTTAAAATTGCATAACCGAGTGAAACCTTTTTGCTCGGTTAAGTGGCATCAATACATATTTGCACAAAACTTTTGCGTTTTTTTTTCTGAATGTCGATAAAAAAAATATTGTGAAATGACGGTGTTTCCATTAACGATGTTATGTGACTAAAACATTTTTTTTTTCTTTCGCGATAAGTCATTCCAAAAATAATTGCAACGGACGTTGGTAGTCTATATCACAGCCACCGCACTAGACATTAGTATTATTTATGGAAGGAGACGTGGTGTGTTATCCAAGCATTAATGGCAGGGAAAGACATAGGCCGTGTGTCCACTAGGGATGAGCGAGTACAGCATTATCTGTATCTGTATCTGTATCTGTTAACCATATGAATTATCTGTATCTGTATCTGTACTCGGACTGGGCGGGGCCTAAACCCGGAAGTGGGCCGGGTAGTCTTGAAATGGGCGGGGCTTTAACCGGTATGTTATTTTAAGCATGCAATTGATATGGGTTGATCTGAAATTGCTATATTTATTGCTGATAAGAAATAAAACTATTTACATGACAGCATCAGCATTGAGCTTCAGATCAAGTTTTGCAACAATGAATACAACACATGTGGCTGCAATTATGAAGTAAAATGTAATGAACAAGAGTTTTCATCTCAACTACGGCTGGGTGATATGGACCAAAAGTCATATCCCGATATATATTTAGGCTGAATTTCGATATACAAAATATATCCCAATATTTTTTCTGCAAAGTGAGAGCAAATGTTCAGTCAAAGCCAAATATGACATGTCACAAGTAGTTTTATTGAAACTTGAACATTTGCTAAATCAAATGAATAAATAATAAACAGGTTTCTTCACCTTAGGGCTGCATGATTAGCTATGACAAAAATCTTAATTGCAGATTATTCCCTTGGAATTGTAATTGTGATTTATTAATTGGTTTATTTATTTTGTTAATACAACGTTGGTATGAGCCATTACAGTCATTTTAAAAAATATAAAAAATAACACAAAGAAAAATATGGGTATTAAGGGGTTAATATAGAAACGACAGTTACCATAGTGAATAGTGAATACACAATACTAACAAGAACTGTTTATGAAACATGGAAACTGCTCCTGGTGAATAGAATGAAAATCATAACTGCATTGCTTTTATTTCGTGTAATTTACAACGTAACGGTGTTGCATGCTCGTATAGTTTCTTTTGCACTTTATATACAGTGAGGCGGTCCAGCGCGCGCCGCCGCATTTGCGCGTGCAATTGAGTGTGCGCTACGACTAACGTTACAGTATAACGGCTGACAGGACAGAAAGTCCGTTTTGCTGAGGTGAAAGACTTTATTTCATAACATAACATGCTTTAATCAAGCACGCAAAGTGGAAAAGGAGTGGCTGGGGCGCGGGGAGCAGTGCAGAGAGCTCGGGTTCAGCACTCAGCAGCTTGGAGCAAGGATCACAGCGCAAACCTGAACTAAGCCTATATCGATATGAAATATGGTCTAATTACATATCACATTTAAAAATATATATATTCTTTATATTGATATATCGCTCAGCCTTAATCTCAACATAACTTTTTTTTTTTTTTTTTTATCCGAGCACAGATATTGACTCGTATTACTCGTATAATATTCGTACTTGACAAAAGTGCTTTATCCGTACCGGATACTCGTTTCAGCCGAGTATTCGGCTCAACTCTAGTGTCCACCAAAGCGTTTTTCCACATGCCTGGCGTATGTTTTCAATTGTTTTCAATGGGAGCGCTGCATTTTTTAAACGCCATGAGCGTACCGAGGCGCTGAGCGTTTTTTTACGCTGAAGCGCCGAGCGCCCGGCGTTTTTACTGGTCGCTGGGAGTTGAAAAATATTCAACTTTGGATAAAATGCAGCGTTCATCACTGTCACTTTTTACCCAGCCGTCCAATCACAGTGGAGGAGGGGCGGGACTATAGACGGCTGCATTTATGAAAAATAAACACCTAACCCTAAAAAAATTCTAACAAAAGGTTTCTCAGCTGTTTTTTGTTGTATTAGGTGTCCTAAATAGCATACTAAAAGTTTACCAAAGTTTGACCACTAGAAAGGTGTAATTTTCAAGATGGCGTCTAAGATGGACAAGAAGCCCTTAAAATATCCGACCTCCTTCATTATTTGACTTAGCAAAGTAATATTGGTGTCTAACCCCATTTTTTCTGGGTCTATGAATCCATTGGACTTGTCTAAATTGCACTGACATGATTACAAACTTATGGAATATATGATTTTGTGAGATTACTGTAAGGATTTATCTTTGTTTGGGGTGAACCAGAGATGTAAACCATTTAGCCTGTCATGTTATTCCTACGCAGGAATAACATGTTTTTGGACACATACCCTTTTTTTGCTAAAAAAGTTTTTGGACACATACCCTTTTTTTGCTAAAACACATACTTTGCATTCAATGTAAAAATTATTGCACCCAAAAGTAACTTAAATTGGATTGTATAACTCGGATCATGAAAAAAAATCTGAATTAGCCCGAACAGAGGCCTGTGTGTGAACCCCCTAAAAAGGTCACTCATTTCAATTTGAATAAGGTAATACATGTGTAATGCATCCTCTATAGATGTTTTTTGAGTATACAGGGGGCATTAAACCCAACAAAATTAAATGCACAATTTTCAGCAATTGACATTGTTGAATTAGCTTGAGGTAAAAGTACACTCCAAATGCAATTTTGACCATGAGTCATGTTGTTATAATCCAAGAAACTTTCCCCATTTTCTGTAAAAACTTAAGAGATGGCTCTGATGTGGTTGAGGTTTATCAGAAGGTAGCTGATGGAATCAACAACGCAAGTGTACAAAGAGCCGACGATGATGTTCCGCTGGTGAAATAGTACTCAAAATGTCGACGGTGTCGAGAATAGTACATAAATAAAAAAGACATTAAAATCCAACAAGAGAATAAAGCTGAGCCACCAAAAAGAAGTGGTCCTTTCAACAACCATGCTGATATGATATGAACAGATATGCTCGCAGAGTCCATTCTTGAATGTTGTCACAATCATGCAGATCAATGGGCTTACTTGACTCTTTGCGCTACAACCTTTTTAGCAAGAAAATCGTTACCGCCAAATCATTTGTTACCCCAGAACGTCTGCCTCCAACTGAGTACTCAACCAAATACCACTGCCAAAGAGTTTACTTCCAGATCATGGTGTGGATTGGAAAGGAAAGTGTCATGAACACAGTGAATTAGGGATGGAAACTGCTGGACAACCAGTTCCTGCTAGTTATGACCAGTAAGACTGCTGCCCCAGAAAGCCTCCTGCAGATCGATGATCCACTGTAATTGCACAACTACCTGCCGAACACAACCGTGCAGTTGTAGGGCATATGGACTACCATGCATGCTTGCTTGTGGACTGTCAAGTTAGGAATTGTGAGAATCACTATAATCAACCTCTATGGGAGGAAGAGTGTGACGACTAATGGTAATAGTCACAGTACAAAAAAGTATAAAAAATAAACCAGAATTAGAGGAAACAAATAGAAAAAGATATGTATAAATAAGAAAAGTATAAAAAAAGAAAAGAAAAGGAAAAAAAAACACTCATTATAAAAAATATTAAAAAAATAAGACAAAAAATTAAAAGGGGTTAGTGGTAGTGAGCCTTCACGTGGCAGCCCTGTTTTGACTAATTTTACAGTGCCACACAGTTCTAATGAATTTATTCATTATTGGAATTAAAAGAATTGTTATGAACTACAGAAACCACCAACAGTAGGCAAAATGGTATGACAAAGGAGAAATATGCAATTACTTAAGGGAAATTTTACTTATTTTTCGCATAAATATGCTAAGTTGTAACCAATTGCTTTAATATATAATAGCACTTGAAGTCACTTATCTACCATGCAAATATGCTAATTATAATATTACATGGCCAAAACATGTATCAGGCACCAGTATTCCTGGTCTAGGAGGAATACAAAGGAGTAATGGTCATTTTAAAGACCTGACGGCTGCCATTTTGAAAATGGGGCCTTTCTTGGAGTCAAACTTTGGTAAACTTTTAGTATGTTTTTAAGTACATCTGATACTACTATAAACCACTGAGAAACCTTTTGTTAGAATTTTTTTGGGGTCAAGCCATATTTGCAGCTGACTACTAATACCACACGACCAACTGTTAAAGGGTTAGTTCACCCAAAAATGAAAATTCTGTCAGTATTTACTCACCCTCATGTTGTTCCAATCCCGTAAGACCTTCGTTCATCTTCGGAACACAAATTAAGATATTTAAGATATTAAGATCGCTCCTGCATACTAGTCCATAGGCTTCTTGAGGGACTGGCTCTTGCTGTCCTCGAAAAGTCATTAAAGACATCGTTAAAATAGCCCAAGTGACTACAGGGGCTCAATCTTAAGTTTATCAAACGACGAGAACACTTTTGTGCGCAAAAAAACAACAAAAATAACGACTTTATTTCAACT